GCGAAGAGATGGGTACCAGAAAACCGTCACAGTTTTTACGCCATCTTCAGCATCTTGCTGGGCGAAATATCCCAGAAGAATTTGTTCGCACGACATGGTATAACAGGCTACCACCAAACATACAGCCGATTATCACGTCACACTCCGATATGCCTATGGACAAATTGGCTGAACTAGCTGATAAGATTCTAGCAGTAGCAGCACCAACACCTAAAATTTCAGAGGTAGCCCCTTCTACATCATGCTCTATTAATCAAACTTGGATAGCAATGGAAGCCATGGCAAAACAAATATCTGAGCTCACTAAACAAGCATTGAGTGCCAGACAATCTCGTCCACAGGGGAGACGTTTTTATAGAAGAAAGTCACGATCTCGTTCCAAATCTCAAAACAGGAATGGTATCTGCTACTACCACAATAAATTCGGAAGCAATGCATATAAATGCACAATGCCATGTAGTTTCCATCAGGGAAATGGCAACGGCAGTCACTAGTGGCGGAGAATGACTGCTTGATGAGTGCAACGGCCGCCTCTTTATCGTAGAACGGAAAACGAAGATGGAATTTCTCGTCGATACCGGTTCCGACCTCTGCGTTTTTCCGAAGACCGCAACCGCAGGGTACCGCACCAAGACAAAATTCGAGTTATTCGCGGCAAACAACACCACTATATCGACATATGGTTACATTCATCTTCATCTAGATTTCGGCCTGCGAAGGGATTTGAACTGGAGGTTTGTCGTGGCTGATGTGACGAAACCCATACTTGGTGTGGATTTCTTAAGCCACTACAATTTACTCGTAGACTGTCGCCACCATCGCCTAATAGATGGACTTACAAGCCTTTCCGTGTCTATAGCACATCGAAACAGCCTTAAAGAAGAAATCGTCTCTGTTAAAGCAGTATCTGGGAACACCCCATACCACACTTTGCTAAAACAATATCCAGAAATAACAAGACCTGCCGGTGCTCCCATTGAACCAAAACACAGTACAAAGCACCATATTCGCACAACTCCCGGACCACCGGTGAATTCACGTCCACGCCGATTAGCTCCAGATCGCCTAAATATTGCAAAGAAGGAATTTGAAGAAATGCTATTTAACGGAACAGCGCGCCGATCGGAAAGCCCATGGTCGTCCCCGCTACACCTAGCGTGAAAGAAAGATGATGGTTGGCGTCCGTGTGGTGACTATCGAGCTCTTAACGCGAGAACAATTCCTGACCGTTACCCAATCCGGCACATCAACGACTATGCTTACCAGCTGGCCGGAGCAAAAATATTTTCTAAAGTCGATTTAATTAAGGCTTGTAACCAAATTCCAGTAGAGAAGAACGACATACCCAAAACAGCCATCACCACTCCGTTCGGTCTGTATGAGTTCCCTTTCATGAGTTTTGGGTTAAGGCACGCAGCCCAAACGTTCCAAAGATTCATCGATGAGGTTACACAGGGCATGGACTACGTATACGGATATTTGGACGACATTCTGATATTCTCGAAAACTGAGAAAGAACACTTAAATCACTTAAAAAATCTGTTTGAGAGATTCAAGAAATACGGCATACTTATTAATACATCTAAGTGCATATTTGGAGTACCGGAAGTTACTTTCCTGGGTTATCACGTGTCATCCGAGGGAACACGACCATTGCCCGAAAAGGTGGAAGCTATTCACAAGCTCGACCCACCTAAAACCGCTAAACAACTGCGAAGGTTCCTAGGAATGGTCAATTATTATCGGAGGTTCATCCCTCATGCCGCACAATTACAATACCCTTTAAATGAGGCCTTGACAGGAAAGAACAAAGGAGCCACGCCTATAAATATGACTGATAAAATGTTGCGTGCCTTTCAAAAATGCAAAGAAAGCCTGACTCACACTACACTTCTGTCACATCCAGATGTACAAGCAGAACTAGCGTTGTTTACAGATGCTTCAAATGAAGCGATCGGAGCTGTACTGCAGCAAAAAAGGCAAGATAACATATGGCAGCCTTTGGGATTTTTCTCACGCAAGTTGTCACTACCCCAAAAGAAGTATAGCCCTTATGATAGGGAACTCCTAGCTATTAACGAAGCGATAAAACATTTTAAATATATGCTTGAAGCTAGGAACTTTGCCATTTATACAGACCATAAACCAATTTCATACGCTTTCAAAACAGGAAGGGATAATTGTTCACCACGGCAATACAGATATTTAGATTATATATCACAATTCACCACAGATATCAGACATATTGCGGGAAAAGAGAATGTTGTCGCCGACGCGCTTTCAAGAAGCAATAAATTATGAAGCCCTTGCACGAGATCAGGAGATCGACCTTGAATTGTAAGGTTTACTGAAAAACGGGACAGGTCTTAGAATAGAGAAATTACCAAATAGCAATCTCTATTGCGACGTATCAACCGGAAAAGTTCGTCCTTACATTACGCCAAAGTTCCGTAAACAAGTATTTCAAAAGATGCATGAACTAAGTCACCCAGGCACCGCAGCAACGACTAAGCTAATCACAGAAAGATTTGTGTGGCCTCGTATAAAACGTGACTGCAAAATTTGGACCAAACAGTGCACAGATTGCCAACTATCTAAAGTAACCCGTCACACTTCCGCTCCATTGTCCTATTTCCCCATTCCTTCAAAACGTTTTTCCCAAGTCCACATTGACTTAATTGGCCCCTTGCCATATTGTAATGGTTTCAGGTACTGCTTAACTGTTATCGACCGTTTCACTCGCTGGCCAGAGGTCTACCCATTACCGGACATAACTGCTGAGTCTTGCGCCAAAGCTTTCGTCTCCGGCTGGGTGTCACGTTTTGGCTGCCCGGAAACAATCATTACGGACAGAGGTCAGTAATTTCAGTCACATCTTTTTCAAAGCCTGACAAACTCATTGGCTCAGAACACCGCCCCACCACGTCATACCATCCACAGTGCAATGGAATGGTGGAGAGGCTTCATCGCCAGCTAAAAGCAGCAATCACATGTCACAACACACCTCAATGGACTGAAGCACTTCCATTAGTGCTCTTGGGAATGCGTGCAGCGTGGAAAGAAGACCTAACCGCGTCGGCAGCAGAAATTGTATATGGTGAACCTATCAGACTACCAGGAGAATTCTTCTTGCCATCAACGAAGCTCACCTCAGATCCGTCAGACTACGTTGAACGCCTGCGTAGACATACTATCGGTTTGGCTATAGTACCAGCGTCAAACTATAATAAAAGTAAATCATTTTACTTACCTATAGACATCTGGACATCCAAATTCATATTTCTGCGCCGTGGCCCAGAGAAACGACCGCTACAATCGCCATATACAGGACCATACAAAGTCGTGGATCGAGGCACTAAAACATTTAAAATACTAATACAAGGTGAAGAAACCACTGTTACAATAGACAGAATTAAACCAGCATACCTGGCGACAGACGACATCCTCGACGATAAGAAGGATCAGGCTCCAGTGATGACTACCTTACCTGAACGCCCGCGCCCCTTACAGTTATCAACAGAAAATATGACGCGAAGTGGGAGAACTGTCTGATTCCCGGACTACTATCGACCGTAAACCGGTCTCGGTAGGGGAGTGATGTGGCGCACCACCTGCAACAATACTACGAGTAAATACACAATTAAATAACACATTAATAAACACACAAACAAATTTCAATTCACACAAATACACTCATCACACATTATATATTACATTTTTATTATTTATTAATATTACATAAAGTTTACTTACCTATCTCTTCACGAGAAGTATCCCGCGGCGCCGGAGCATAGCAACAGGCGAGCCGCTCTTTAGTAACGCGTCAACTTCCCTACGTTAAACCTGTGTCGCTCGCTGCTAGTTACTGACTACGTAATATTTCGTGCCGAACTTAATTAGTGTTAATTATCAGTCGCAAATTTGTAAGGAATTGTGTGTCCGTAATAAATAAGTTCATAAAGTGATTACGAACATTTTATTTGTATGTGAAGGGACCTTAATTACATATAGGTGTATATAAGATAGCGGACCATCACCTATAAAACCATCCAGGACTTTGTGGCCCGGTTGGCGCGCGGACTATTCGACCGCGCAAACAACGAGCCACACATAAATCTTAACAACCTAGCGCCGCTACAAGCTCGCCCTCCGGACGGGCGACCCTATCCAAGAGAACTCCTCTCTATAGCGATTAGAGAGTCGAGTAACAACCCACAATGCCGCAGATAGGCCAACTTTGACATCTCAAGATAACCTCCTTTTTTCTTAGTCTTAACCGACTACGAAAAACTTTACCAATTACGGACTAAATCCGAATTTTCGACATACAACGCCTGAATAAGGCTCCTAAGGCTGGTCCATAGTAGTGGACCGCGAGGACAATCCCAGCAATGGGGGCATACCCCGAGTCTCGAGACCTGCAGGACCCAAGCAGTCTGTGCAGACGACAACACGGCTCAATTCGCAGTCGCAGCACAGCCGTCAAAGAGGCAACAACAAGAAAAAGGAAGCCGAAACCTAAGGAACAAGAAGCTACCTAGGAAAAAAGTGTTTTAATTGCCTCCTCCCGGCTGATCGTCTATCTCTCTCTCTCTCTATCTCTCGAGGTCCTAGTAGGGTCGTACTACACACACGCATTCAGGGGTGCGTGGGACGTGCGTCACCAGCACTAAGCAAGGAACGTACGTCATCAAGTGGGAGATTGTCCCAGGGTGACTGTGCGGGTACTGGACGTGTCCCTGCCGTCCGAAACAGTTGGTCTTTCAAAATTCGAATCCCTGCTAGAAGTATATAGAAGATTAAGAAGATTTCGTTCAAGATGCCGGTTACCAGGTCACAGAAGGATGCTCCCTCACGTCCCGGGTCCCGTCCCTCAGATAAGGACGCGACAGGTGAAATATCGGGATCAGAAGGGGTCACGTCTGCGTCAGCGTCATTATCATCAGGAACAGCAACTACGTCAGATTCTTCGGGCACTACGACCACAGAGGATAATCACCATGACAGAGACCACGGTTGCAACTGCCACCACGGCGGCGTCCGAAGAAAACGGACAGAAGGATGAAGCCGCACAGAAGGAGACGACCAAGAAGACTCCAGAGGATATTCTGGACAAGGGCGTTCATGGCTCCGCCACAACCCTTAAGCCAAAGGGGGTCAGTCGTCGCGCCAGATAGATGAAGACCACAAGCTCCTCAGCCAGGAGACGGGAGCTGGAAGCCAGAAAAGAATTAGCATGCATGGAGCTGAAGCGAGCCCAAGCTGCGGCGAAGCTAGCCCGCGTCAGACTAGAGCTGGCACAGTGTTAAGAAGAGGACTCCGTGGATGAAGACCAGGAAGACAGAACAGCACAGGTGTAGAACTGGATCGAGACATCAGTGATGAAAGAAAACAACATGGAAAAACACGAGCAACGAGGTCAGCACCCTCTGGAAGAGCCAAATGTGAAGCCTGAAGAGAACTCCTCAACGAAAAAAGATACGAGCGAAATTCAAACGCTGACGACAGCATTGAAGGAAGTCCTTACCATAAGAGGAGGACCAGTAGCTCAGCCAAAGTATATTCACGAGCTACCCTACTTCAATGGCAACAGCAGCGAGTGGTTGGCCTTCAAGGCGGTCTACGAAGATACCGCCCCGATGTTCAACGCAGTTCAAAACATAGCTCGACTAAGAAGAGCACTAAAGAGCAACGCAAGAGAAGCTATCAAGAGCCTGCTGTACTCCGAAGCCTCTCCATTAGAAGTAATGCAGGCCCCCAAAAGACGATATGGAAAACCTATTGCGCTGGTACTGGCTGAATTGGACAAAGTCAAGGCGTTACCGAAGATTTCCGAAAATCCAAGAGATATATGCGTCTTTGCGAACCAAATCAACAACAGCGTAGCAGCAATAAAGGGTTTGAAGAAACCACAGTACTTGCATTCACCTGAAATGGTAGAGCAAATTATAATAAAGATGCCTACAATTCTCAAGTTCAGATGGTATGACTTTACGGCAGCAACAGAAGAGGGCGAGTTCTCCGACCTAACGATGGTCTCCAAGTTCCTGAACAGCGAAGCAGACAAATGTGGAGCATTCGCCACCTCAGAAGGAAGAGCGGGTTCAGAAGAACTCATCGACAAGCGACGCATTCTACAAGGGAAAAGGACTTTAAAGAAAAAGATTTAAGACAATCAACTGAAACTCGTCCTTTGTGTCAAGGTGGACACTTCCTCGTCGACTGCCAGAAGTTCCAGAAGATGTCAGTGCAAGATCGATGGGCAACAGTAAAGAAAAGTCACGTTTGCTTCAAATGTCTTCAAGGAAAACATCGAAAGGAGAGCTGCAAGAAACCACCATGTAAGGAATGCAAGATGTGGCATCATCATTTGCTGCACGTCGATTCAGAAAACAGGACCTCGGGAGAGAAGAAGGCGTAAACACAAGAAGAAGTAGCAAGCGTCATGACAGCAGTGAATGCAGTTGTTGACTGGGCACACATGACGCAAGGGCATACCTGAAGATAGTTCCAGTAGAAATCTTCGGGCCGAAAGGATCCAAAAGAATATTGGCCCTCATGGATGTAGGGTCCACAGTGTCGCTTATTGATGCAAAGGTGGCAGAAGAAGTCGACGCTCAAGGCAACAAAGAGGAGCTGGTCATCGAGACAGTAGGAGGCAGGCAAATTAAGAAGAAGGATTCTCAGACACTGGACCTTGTAGTGAAGGGGGTTCATCAAGGAAGCAAGAAGACCTTGAAGAGAGTCCGAACTATCAACGAGCTGAAGCTTGCACCACAGTTCCTAGAGAAGAAAAGGATACAAGAATGCCAACATTTGAAGAAGATCGCCGACTCTCTTTATTACAAAGGGGAATCACCACAGCTGCTCATCGGTCAAGACAACTGGGAGCTGATAGTGACTCAAGAAGTAAGGAAAGGGAAACCAGGAGAACCAGTTGCTTCAAGGACAGGGCTTGGATGGGTGCTCCACGGATCTGATACCGGGGCTGTAAGAATAGTACACTTCATGAACACGTGTCTACATGTCAGCACACCAGATGAAGAGATGCATCAAGCCATCAAGGACCACTTTGCAATCGAGGCGCTTGGCGTGCAACCAGGAAGACCCACCACAGACTCAGAATGAAGAGCACTCGCCATCCTAGAGAAGACCTGCAGAAGACTTGAAGATGGACGATTCGAAGCTGGACTCATGGAAAAATGAAGATGAACAGATACCTGAGAGCTACACGTCTGCCAAGAACCGGTTGTTCAATATTGAAGAGAAGATGGATGAGGACCCTCAGCTGAAGGCAGAATATATCAAGCAGATCCAGCATCTTATCGACAGCAAGTTTGCAGAAGAAGCATCTATGACACAAAAGGACTCTAAGAATAAATGGTACCTCCCTCACTTCTCCGTAGTACATCCACTGAAGAAGAAGATAAGGATCGTCTTCGACGCTGCAGCCAAGCCAAAGGGAAGAAGCCTCAACGATGCTCTACTGCCAGGACCAGATCTACTACAGTCACTCTTCGGGATACTACTAAGGTTTCGACAGGGGCCGCTAGTTGTGGCAGCCGACATCAAGGAAATGTTTCTTCTAGTATTCGCATTCGACCAGAAGACAGAGATAGCCTAAGGTTTTTGTGGCGCGGGGCTCGTCGCGACGTGCCTCCGAAAGAGTACAGGATGACGTCAGTCATCTTCGGCGCAACATCATCTTCGAGTACCGCAATCTATGTGAAGAACCGAAACGCAGCGGACTTCAAAGAGCGGTATCCAGAGGCAGCAAGGGCGATCGAGCTAAACCACTACATGGACGATTCACAGCTTCCACTCAGAAGAAGACTTTAGAAAAGTGACGAACACTATTAAATTATAAAAATAATGAAACATTTTAAAATATATCAAAATTGATACGAGTTCAATACCTTAAAATAAAAATCGATACATCGTTAATAAATATAGGGACGTTAAATATCGATATTTTGTAATGTCGATATTTTTACCAAAGCCTAAATGTCACTCACACATTTTTAATTGGTGATCAGTGACAGTGATCAGTACTCTATGCTCTATGGTGATCAGTGATGGATGGATGGTTGTTAGTAGAAGATTTCGATTTTGCATTCTAGATTTTTATCTCGCGTTAACGCATTGTGCCTAGTGCTTAAAGCAGTTTAACCATTTGAGACAGTAGAGCAGCGTAATATTCAAAATGGATGAACACAGGAGTGTTGAAGATACACCAGCCTCTCAAAGGCTGACAAATGAAGATTTTAGGAAACTCCTTATGACTCCAAGGGCTACCCCATCAGGGGGTGCTCACCCAACAGGTTCGGTGCGAGAAGCTATGGCAAACTCTGGGTATGTGTCTTGTATGTTTTTCATTACTAAAGAATTGACATATTTTAAAATCTTTTGCTGCCTTTTTGAGTTCTAACTAACTCATCTACATGCTTTAAAACATAACTGGTAGAGTGCTGTAAGTAGTCTTAAAGCAATAAGTTTCAAAAGTTCCTTTTTTTAAAAATTCTCAAAGAGCTTGTATACTGATTACTTTAGCCACTGACTGTAAATTTAGCTTAATATTATAATATGATGATTATTTATACCATTGCTAGCAACTCTTTACAGCTCTTGAATTTCTACTTTATTTAACAATTTAAGAACAGTATAAACCTAAATTAATACATTGATAGGCATCTATTTCATTTGAAATACATTTTATTTGTATAAGAGTTTATTAATTACAATATCAAAAGATACCACAAAGTATAAACCCCCTTGACCCCCACCCTCCCACAGTGACAGAATCCTCAAATTCAGGCGACTTAATTGTGAACCCAACCCGTCTCTTGCGATATTAGACCACCAGGTCATTGGCGGACGGCCTCTACTTCTCTTTGTTTCTGGCAAGCTTAGAGCTATTTGAACCGCATGGTTTTCCCTGCGTCTTTTAATATGTCTATACCATCTTAGGCGATTTTGAATGATTTTTAAAGCTGCCACGTATATGTTCATTACGGACTTTGTCAAGTCAAGTCACACCTCCCGCCCACCTAAGCATCTTCATTTCATTAGTATGGACCTTTTGCTCATACTTCTTTTTTTTGTCCAACATTCAGAACCATACAATAACGCGGGATGTACTGCGGTTTTATACACTTTGCCCTTAGTTTTTATGGGAATACATGTATCATAATACCCCTGTAAGTGATTGCCATTTCAGCCACATGGCCCTTATTCTATGGGCCACGTCTGTGTCAACGTTCGCATCTGTTGTAAGCATAGAGCCCAAGTATTTAAATTTATCTACTGTAGGAATAGGTGTTGTCCCAATACAGATAGTTTTAGATACCATGTTTCCGCTGATAGGGCATTTCAGATACTCAGTTTTACTCCTACTCACCCTCAGGCCGTACTTTCCTGAAGAATTTCCTGCAGATGGCTTGCTGTATCAGCAGCTAAGACAATTTCATCCACTTATAGAATAGTCCATGGCAATGGGGCAGGTATATCCTTTGTGAGGTAGTCCATCACCAGATTGAATAGAAGGGGACTAAGAGCAGATCCCTGATGGGCACCCACTTTGACTTCAAAAGCTTTACTCACGCCGTTAGGCTTCTGACTCTCATGTTGGCATTGCAGTACATATCTTTTTAAGTTTAATATAATACTCTAGCACCTTTTGGGCTCGAAGTGGCTGCCATACTAGCCTATGTGGAACTCGATCAAAGGCTTTTTCTAGGTCTATGAATGCTAGATGTAAGTCTTTATTGTTTATTTTATGTTTTTTCATCAGGATTCTAATCGTTTAGATGGCATCAATAGTCGATCTGGATGCTGTAAAACTGAACTGATTTGGAGATATTTCAGCAATGTCACTGAGCCATTTATTAATAATTTGTTCCCATATTTTAAGTGTATTTGAGGTCAATTTAATACCTGTAAAGTTTTCGCACTGCGCTACAAAGCACCCTTATTTTTATAGAAAGGTAGTAGATAGCTTTGGCGCCAAGAGTCCGGAATGCGTTTAGTCGTTAGAATAATGTTAAAAAGCTTAGTTAGCTATGCTGCCGTTATTGGCCCAAAGCCTTTCCATGGATCCACTGGTATCTCGCTTGGGCCTGTAGCCTTTCGGATTGTCATTTTGGCTATTGCATGTTGGCAACTGCAGTTTTTTTTAATTATATTATTGTTGTTATTAGGAAAATGCTGCTGCCCATCTCCTGCCTGTTTCCCTCTGTCGCCTCTTACGACACCCACGGGAAGAGTGGGGTAGTGGATATTCTCAACCCCCACTACACGGTAAGCGTGGCAACTATGGCAAATATATTGCCCTCCTTGAATAACGACGCAAACAAACGGTCCTCAGTCCCCAGCGGCCCCGCTATTCCTGGCTTCGGTGGAGACCATGGTAACAGCGGGGCAGGAGGTGCTAAGAATCTCCGGTGGAGGTTTGGTTGCCACCTATGACGACACAACCTGGCAACATATAATGCATGCACCCTGAAGACTGACGAGAAGATACTGTAGCTGAAAGAAGAGTTGCGCTGGCATATTTTTGGATTATCCGAGGTCCAAGGAGACGGGGATACTCAGAATCACTTAACGGTATTTGCTGAAGATCATACAGGTTTATGCATCAACTTCAGAACATCCTAATGAGGAGGTGGAGGAAATGTATGAGGATATTTCCAGAGCCATGCATTCCTCCAAAACCCCCTACACGGTGTTGATGGGAGACTTCAACGCAAAACTAGGCACAGGAGAAGGTGGTGAGCTGCAATCGTCAACAGATTTGACAGCATACAGGCAACTGAACAGACAAATCTCCAAATGCATGCGGCGAGACTTGCGTAATTTTAATACTGCTCGTATTGAAGAAGCAATCGAGCGGAACCAGGGCTCCAAAGTCTTTGCCAGAGATCTGTCTGCCAGTAAGAGCCAACTGTCAAAGCCGAAGACTGAGTGTGGCAGCACCATGTCCAGGACACCTGAGATTCTGAGTGAGATTGAGTACAACTGCCCATAGGACCTCTGGGCAGCTGTACACATCATCGTTAGAGCCACACGCAAGTGTGAGTAACGATCCAAGAGCAAGTCTTATCCGACAATATTCCGATGATATCCCGGACGTCAGTCTGAGCGAGATTAGAATGGCTCTCCAGCACCTTAAAAACGGCAAGTCCCCAGGCGAGGATGGAATTACAGCGGAGCTTCTGAAAGTGGGTGGAAAACCGGTACTTGAAGTGCTTCAGAGGCTCTTTAATTCCGTCCTCCATGGTGGCGCTACTCCCGACGCGTGCAGCAGAAGTGCGGTGGTCTTGTTCTTCAAGAAAGATGACAACGCCCTCTTGAAGAACTACAGACCGATATCCCTTCTGAGCTGCGTCTACGTGCTGTTTTCGAGAGTCATTACGAATCGTCTCGCACGCAGACTCGACGACTTCCAGCCTCCCGAATAGGCCGGTTTCCGAAAAGGCGTTAGTACCATAGACCACATACATACCCTTCGGCCAATTGTACAGAAGTCCGAAGAGTACAATCTGCCACTTTGCCTGGCGTATGTGGACTATGAGAAAGCCTTTGATTCCGTCGAAATTTGGGCGGTGCTACAGTCTCTTTAGCGGTGCCAAGTGGACTGTCGGTATATCCAAGTGCTGAAGTGTTTGTAAAGTAGGGCTACGATAGCTATCCGAGTACAGAACGAAAACAGTAAGACAGGGTGACGTATATTCCACGTATTAACATCAATGGCGAGTACACCACTCACCTTCGATTTGCCGACGATATAGTCCTTATGGCAGAATCGCTAGAGGACTCAAGCACTATCCTCAATGACCTCAATAGTGCCTCCCAACGGATAGGTCTTAAGATGAACATGGACAAAACAAAGATCATGTTTAATGTCCATGTCACACCTATACCAGTATTTGTTGGGAGCACTAAGCGCAAAGTTGTTGACGAGAACGTTTACCTGGGACAAATAGTCCGACTAGGTAAGTCCAACTTCGACCGAGAGGTCAATCGACGGATTCAACTCGGCTGGGCAGCGTTCGAGAAATTACGACGCATCTTCTCGTCAGGTATACCTTAAAACCTGAAGACTAAGTTGTACAACCAGTGCATGTTGCCATTGATGACCTTACGGAACCGAGACGTGGTCCTTCACTGCTGGCCATATGAGGACGCTCAAAGTCGCTCAGCGAGCTATGAGGGCTATGCTCGGAGTTTCTCCGCGTGATAAACTTAGAAATGAGGATATCCCCAGTAGAACCAGAGTGACCGACATAGCCCAACGGATTAGTAAGCTGAAGTGGCAATGGGCCGGCCAAATAGCTCGAAGAACCGACAACCGTTGGGGAAAAAAGGTTCTCGAGTGGCAGCCTCGTACTGGTAGGCGAAGTGTAGGGCGACCCTCCACTAGATGGAGTGACGACCCTCCACTAGATGGAGTGACGACCTCGTAAGACATGCAGGAAGTCGATGGATGCAGGTAGCTCAGGGCTGTGCTTCTGAAGGGCTGTAATGATGATAATGATGATATTGCATGTTTGACTTCAGTTATATCCACCTTGGGTATTGGTCCAGATGTAGATTTGTTGGGTGTAGGGAACCAAACCATTTGGAAATTCTTCATTTAATAGTTGTTTATAATATTCATACCATCTATCCATAATTAGTGAGTAAATTGTTATCAATTTTTGGTCTTTATTTTTAATGTATTTGTTTGTTTTTATACCCTTCATCTACAGTTTTGCTTACTAATTGCTCTTTCTATGGCTACACATTTCTTTGCCTGTTTCTTCACTTCTTGTGCGAGTGCGAGTTCTAGTTGCGAGCTTTGCCATTTCTTAAAGAAGTCTTTCTTATTCGTTAGAGTCTTCTTCACATTGACATTTCACCAATTAGGATCCTTCTAATTTTCGAGACTTTGGAGACTCCCAGGATTTCTGCTGCCTTAATTCTGCAATGCGCTTCTAATTTAGACCACATATCTTCAGCATATTCATAGTTTACTCCAATATCAGAGTCTAGGTATTCCCTTATTACACCTCCCAGTGATTCGTCCCTAGAGCTATCCAGATCTTTCCACTTAGTATGCGGTGTTCTGTCTACGAAAATTTTTATAGGTTTGGACAGAGAGTAAATGGCTACGAGTATACAGTGTTGTGAAGTTAGAGACTCTCCAGGGATTACTTTGCAGTCCTTGAACTTTTGTTTGGCATCCATATCTGAGATAGTATAGTCTATTTGTGACACTCGACCTGCACATTTATTTATATGTGATTAGATGTTCTTCTTTCTTTTGAAAGTTTTTTTAGATCAGAGTTAAAGAGTGTCTGGCTGAAAATTCCAAAATGTCCGCTGTTCCAAAAAACCACCATGTACCGCTCCGTATGTATTACTTTTAACTCCTATGTGGCCATTTAAATCCCCTCCTATTATTTTACGTTCATTTAATGATATTTCATGTATGAGATCATCCGAGTCTTCCTAAAATTGAGATTTCTATGACTCCGCGCAAACCGTCTGTGGATTGTATACTGATAAGATGTTAATTATTTGTTGGTCATCCAGTACCAATTTAGCAGCAATTAGACGGTCGCTCTTCCGGGTGATGTTTACTATGTAGCTCTTAAAGTTTTATCCAAGGCTATCGCTACCCCATTTCTTTTACTGTTTATGCCATGGTATATGACCTGATAATTGTTTCTTATGTCTCAAGATTTTGAGTCTTTCCATTTCGTTTCTTGTATGCACCAAATGTTAATGCATCTTTTCTTTAGGATTTTGCTTAATTCTTAGCTCCTCCCTGTAAGAGATCCCAAGTTCGCTGTTGCCAGTCTTATTTTTTTAATAGTATGTTAATTCGAATGTTTGTTCTTGTCCAAGTGATCGTCGCTTCGGGGGGACGCCCTAGCAGTTTTGACATTGAGTATCATTTGATTCATCATATTAGCTTTTACATCGCTTGGGGGGTGTAATGTTTTGCCCTGTATTTGTTGTTTTGTGCTTTCATGTGAGGAAGAAATGTTTTGGCTATTTGTTTTACGGCCGGTTGCCACCTGACGCCAATGCAGTAACACTTCTGAAGGGCTTGGGAGCCGCCATTGGACCGAGGTGTAACCTGTGGTCTCAATATGTGAGAGCAGCTTTCCACTGGGTTTGTGCTTCTTCCGCCCGCTCCACTGTAACGAAAACTATTAACTCCACCTTCGCAGCTGTTGAAGTCTTCACCCGTAACCCTGGGTAAGGGACTGTGTTATACCCCACAGGACTGGGTCCCTGCCTGAACTTGGCCACCAATTTACTCCAGCCTACTGAGGTAAACGGCGCCCGCCCTAGCGGCTTGGACGCGCCAGACAGAAATTACCCTAGTGGGTGACAGAAAGCATTTCATAGTTATATTAACATAACATATTTCATGTTTGTTGAAAATATACATTTTTTTCTTAAGATATATCTTAAAATGGATTATAGTTACATAAGTATTGAAGACTGAATAACACTTGCATTTATCTTTTTTTTTTTCTGTTTTAATTTTGAACTGTACAAGAGTTTTCATTGGTGACATGAATACTATAACTTTTGTACGAGTTATGTGTAATTGCTTATTAGTACACTTTATTTCTAGGTCGATGCCTCCACCCGCTGAAAACAAAAGTGAATTGCGTCGTAAAAAGAAATCCTACTATGCAGCATTGAAGAAACAAGAAGACAACAAACTAGCTGAACTAGCTGAGAAGTACAGAGATAGGGCCCGTGAAAGGAGAGATGGCCTTAATGACATTGGACCAACAGATCCAACTAGCAACACCAGTAGTGCATACAGGTACCTTTTAATGCAATAACTACACTAGGCAAATGTACTTTTATTATAAGAGAGGGGGAAAACAAGCAGACGGCTCACCTGATGGTAAGTGAACAACTGCAACACATTATTAATAAATATGCATAATTAATAAGTATGCTACATATTATTAAAGTTATGAGAACTCTAACAAATTATTTGGTTGGACAATGCTTAGTAAGTTGGGACAAACGAGTGCCTTTTTTTATAGGATAAGGGTGACAAACAAGCGCACAGTCTACCTGATGGTAAGTGGTTGCTGTGGCCCATAGATAACTAAATCTTTCCTCGATTACGAATCAAAATGCAGATGTGTAGTCACTCATGAGGACTAAGATGGAATGCCTTATTTATATATTTCCTCATTTCTATATTTCCTTATTTGTCAATTTGTTAGCTCTTTAGTATTTCTTGCAGTGTGTTAGTTTGTGTAAAGTGTGTTGTAAGTTGTACCTACAGTCAAAATCTGCATTATAATACCAGATGCCTCACCGCTTCACTTCTATGGCCTTATTAAATCATTAACTTTTTACAATGGATAATTCTAAAAGACTTATGCATAATAAATAAAAAACTCACAACCTACCCACGCACACAGTAATATGGAATGGTTGGTTCTATTTCAACTCTACCAACACTGCACGGCGTATATTTTATCTATAGAATTATTTCCTGGATTGTGAAGGTGGTTTATATAAATATATTCCACATGAACAAGCAGTCACAACCCAAGCAATTATTCAAGTAAATATTTTTCATACTTTTCTATTTTTCTTGAACGATAGCAGGATTCACAAACTACATTTATTCTTATATTTGCAATTAATATATGTCTATCTTTACAGAGCTGTAGCACCAGATCTAAAGTCAGGAATGGATGCCAAGGAAAGAAGAAGACAGTTAATTCAGGTCTATTATTTCCTCCATTATATTTTAAAAGAACTATCAAATTGCTTTTATTTAATTCAGTAATTATTGTGAGATTTAAATGTTATTATGAATAATTTAATTTTATAATAAAGGCTAGAGTTCTGCTGCCACCATAATTATTTGGTCCCATGAGAGTTTTCATATAAAAATGGCACAGACATATTATACTGTCATAGGGTAAGCGCAGACCGAACTGCAAAATGCTCGCGCATGCTCGAGCAAAGTTTTGACTACTCGACCATGCAGGCGGATTCCGCGCGCGTCCGTGAACAAGATCCATTGAAAGTGCTCTGGGTTGCTAGGGGGACGTGCATACCCAATTTGATGCGAAATTCCGACGTTGATAGACGTGTTCAATATGATCGATTGAGACTTGTTGATTATCGCCCTTTTGGCGGAGGAAGAGGAACATGAAGAACATATTAATGAAATCAGACGTCAGAAAATTAGAAGAACAGTATGGGTAGAAGAAACGTGGAGATTCTTTCCCAAGCATTGGCTTTTGGCATACGATCGCTGTATGTTGGACTTGATATATTGTACAGACATTCAAAACGCTGCACCAAACTTATTAACTTTTCTTCGTACATGATTCCGACTTATAGGTATAAACTAAACACACGTCCAAACAGTTTTTTCGCTGCGGCAATACTGAGCGCGGGCGGTAGCGGAGCGAGCGCGCTCGCGCATGCTCGAACATGCATCCTCCAAGCTCGAGCATGGTCGAGCACCAAGTCTGGACGTGTATATAATTTTGCACTGTCTGTCAATAGTCATAAAATTAATATTTCAGTGTTCTCAGAAAATGCTCTGCTCTAGGTGTTTGCTGACCCTTATTTGCATGCAACTGTAACTATTGACTTAGCGCATGCTATGAAAGCTCTCAAAAGGTGCGAGTTTTTCCGACTTAGTTGGAGAATATCATCATAACTTTAAGACATAATATATCGCCTATGTCCATCTGTAATAATTTATCTTTTAAATAGTATAATACACATACACAAACTCAAAAAAATTTGAACTCTCTCTCTTAATAATATTAGTGTATATGAGTCTTATAAAGTTGAGTTGTGTAATTTATATTCTATATATAAAATGAACTCTACTAGATTTAGGACAGCGTTTTTTACTAGTTCACTAAAATTATTAATTTCAATTTTAAGTGCAGGTTTGGTGGTGAAGAAAATGGTAAATTAAACTAGTGCCTAAAGTAACTAAATACCTAAAATAATTAGATTTTAAGAACAGTAACACACATACAAAAAAATAGAACTTCTTCCTTTTTTGCAGTCAGCAAAATAATTAAAAATATTTTAAGACATATGAATCTAGCTATAATGTATTGAGACAATGTGGTCACCTATTCTCTACTCTTAACTTCGGATAGATGCTTCCCAGCAGTTAGTCTCCCTATTGTTCAAGCTACAATATTATAGTAACCTATAACATATTGTTACAGGAATCAAAATACCTTGGTGGTGATATGGAGCATACTCACTTGGTAAAGGGACTGGATTATGCTTTGTTGCAAAAGGTAATAATAATATTTTAGCTCTTAAGATTTTTACCATTATAATTTTTTTCTCTTTATTTGTCCAATGTTCATGTGTATCTCCTGTTATAAGGACGATTTGTCCCGATCATCATACTTAACAGACAGATTGTTGCATGTGTACTGCAGAATCTATCACGGGGAGTGCTCTGAGGAATTGTTCGGATTAATCCTAGCCATCAAATTTCGTGAACACACTACGCGGCAAACCTCCCGATTCCATCCACATATGAGGATGCTTAGCGGTCCACCGCTCTATGTTTCAGTAGAAGTTTTCTACCGCGTACGACCTCTCTGTGGAATAGTTTACCACCGGCGATTTTTCCGGACCGATACGACCTGGGGACCTTCTAGAAAAGAGCTTTCTCCTTTCTAAAGGGCCGGCAACGCGCCTGCAATTCTTCTGGTGTTGTGGATGTTCATGGGCGGCGGTAGTCACTTAACATCAGGTGAACCGTATGCTCCTTTGCCCCCTCTTCTATATAAAAAAAAACATATTTGAGTAGTTTCGTCGTTGATGCTCAATGGTCTGGATATTTTACGTTGGGCTGTTTGTCGTTTCCCATAGTTGTCTTTTAAAACACCTGAAATGGAGTGATGGATTCTCTCTATTTCAGGATCATTTATTTGACGGCTTAATAGCACAGTGACTAAGTATTTGGTTACGGCGGGACACAATATTATAACTACAATTATTTACAGGTAATATCACCCTTTCCATGGAAATATGTGGTAGAGACAAGGCTGCAGCTATATTATGGTTATAGTTATAGCATTCTCACAGAATACCAGCGTAAAATAGCAACTACATGCTGCTATGTTTCATATCGTGAGTGTAGAGAAATGGAGACCCTTTTTTACTGGAAATAAGGCATTCCATCTTTGTCCTCGGGGGTGACAACGCATCTGCGTTTTGATTCTCAATCGGGTAAAATGTCTATGAGCCGCAGCATCTACTTACCATCAGGTGGACTGTATGCTTCTTTGTAACTTTTATTCTCTAAAAATAAAAAAAATTAATGAGATAGGGTGATAGTGAATTCTCTTACATAATCAATAATATGATGAGATGAAAATATGACAATAATTTTTGCTTTTAAACTATACTTATTAAAAGTTATACTTATAATTTTCTAATACCATTCCAGGTGCGTTCAGAAATTCAAAATCGCGAACAAGAACAAGAGGCTGAAATGGAGAGATTAGTTTCGGTGCCTATTGTAGAAGCAGTTAAGGAAAAGAAAGAGGTGGCTGTTGTAAGTTGAAATTCCTGACTTTTAACACATTTAAACCAAAATTGAGCCTCTCACCTACAAGCGTGGCAATTACTATAATAATCCGCCCAATAAGACAATCAATGCAGGCTTTTGAGTATTAAACCATAGAGATGGCATCGCAAGGCATACTTCTCTGTAAATGCTTTACAATAATAATCAAAACCAATAACAGCGACTTAAAAAAATTAATAACAAAATAAAAATAAAAAGGAACTCTCAAAACGCGTCTAGCTCATAAATTTGCAAAACCGGAATATTTTTTTAGTTTATGGCATTTTGTTACCACTTATCCCAATGACAAGTCGAACTGAAGTTATAGCACGTACGAAAAACGCATATCGCAACATATTTTTTTTGTAGTCTATGCCGGCAGGTGTATAAGTAGCGACAGTGTGCGAGCGAGAGGTAAATAAAGGCGACGCCATTTTCAGTCCCAATCTTTAACCGCACGATTAGTATAACTATAGTACGTTTCTAGGGCAGGCGGAAAAAAGTACATTGACCTCAAGTATTATGTTAGCATCGAAACAAAACGACAGTTATTGCTTCCATACATTTCTTTATAGATTACGTATTGTTATGCGCTAAGCGTGTCTCATGGTACGGGGTAGGGTCGCAGGTAGGTGAAGGAAGCGGTCATTCAGAGATAATAAACCTGTGTCTCACGCCGTGCGTGATGAATTTTTATTAAGTATGTTTAGTTAATTGTATTATTACGTTTTGTATTAAAGAATTGTTATTGTTTTGTGACGTTTTGTATATTATCACTATTATGAAATCTATGAAAACATGAAAATAAATGAAATTTTTATGAGATTTTCATGTGAAAATCTCATAAAGACTTTACGTCACCACGAAAGAAGCGGAAATTGTCGCATATTTAGGAAACCGAAAAAATAATGATTGTAAACATCTATAAATATGTAAAAGAAACATGGTCTAGTGAAGTATATCCATCCAAAGCGGATATGAAAAAGAAGACTGCCGATATTTTAGGTTATAATCAAAGTGACAGACTCTTCTACATCTGTATCATCATAAGATGATTCTGAAATATATACAGATGAATAGTCTGTCAAGTGTCTCTGACAATCTTTTATGAGAAGTTGTATATATGTTTCATGGTTGGCTGCTGAAGAATGCTTCTTCTTCTTTCTTTTTTTGGCGGTTTTCGATTATTCGCCAATGTCAGCGTGGAAGTGTTTATTGAGTACAAGCTCAGTAGTTACAAATACTATGCCCATGAACTAAAGAAGATTGTGATAATACAAGTGTCTTGTTTTATTTCAACAATTAAATTTTCCTTTTTATCTTATAATACTAGTGGTTGTACTGTTGAATTACCTAGGACAAATGACAAACACAGTTGCTATAATTACTTTAGTATATTAGTATTGACAAACATTAAACTTTTATACTATTAGAGTTAATAAAATCACACAGAATATATACATAAGGAGTGTTTGTGTAGGTTAAAAGTGAATCAAAATTTATAGGATGAGGGATGTCAGGAGGGAGGTGATCATAGAGTGAAGAAGATAATTTAGGACAGTTAAAAAAAAATATGATCAGAAGTTCCCTCATCTAACCCACATTCGCAGAGGGAACTGTCCCTAATCCTCAGTTTGGCTAAATGTACTGGTGTACAAGCATGGCCAATTCGAAGTCTACAGATAGTTGATGTTGACTGTTTGTTAGCTTTATTAAATTTGAAAAACCATGGTTTTGGAGGAATGGCACCTTGTATAGCAGCATAGTGTTTACCTTTTATATTTTGAGTGGCTTTCCATAATGTATTCCAATTATTATTTAACTTCTTCTTTGCAAGTAACACTATGTCTGAAGAGTAAACTAAATTACATGGTAAACCATTTCGACTTGCATTTTTAGCCATCAGATCAGCTGTTTCATTGCCCTTGATGCCACTATGACCTGGAATCCAAGCTAAGGAAACCTGAATACCCTTGAGATGGCATGTATACAATGTGTGTTTAATTTTGAGGATCAAGGGTATCTTATATTTACTTTGGAACTGGTTTGACAAAATTGCTAACAAACAGCTTTTGGAGTCAGTAAGAATAACTGACTTATTTAGGTTGTGTGCTTCTATATAAATTAAAGCTTCATAAATTGCCGTGGCCTCGCCAGTAAAAGTGGAAGAAATAGAGGGGCATTTAAAATTGAGGATTATTTTGTATCTGGGAATCCAAACGGCTGCTCCAGTGCAACTTTCACCTGACTTTTTGGAGGCATCAGTGTATATAATAAGCCAGCCTTTCCATAAGTTATCTATGACTCTACTTAGTTTACTATTTGCTATAGGGCAATCTTTCTCAATACCAAGGTCGAGGTGGATATTTGGTTGATAAATAATTGCATCATATGGGATATCAAAGATGGGACAGGACTTGCATTGTGATACTGGGTGTGGTAGATGGAGTAATGTTACCAAACTGTTGGATAAGCAGGGAGATTCTTTATGAGTCCAGTAATGCTTTGATGAAATATATTCCAAAAGAAGGTGTAATTTAGAAATGAGCGGGTGGGAAGAGAGTTGGTAGATTTTAAAAAAGAATCGGACCGAAAGATATTGTCTTCGTAGGTAAAGAGGGGGATCTACACATTCGACTTGGAGAGCATTTATTGGGGAAGATTTCATTGACCCAATGATTATACGAAGGCTTTTGGCCTGAATCCTATCTAGATTCTTTAGGGAAGACTTATTACAGGGTTCCAAGACAAAGCACCCATAATCCAAATGACTACGAATAAGGGCATTGTACAATAATTTTTGAGAGAATGGGTGGGAGCCCCACCAAACTCCCGATAAAGCTCGAAGAATATTTATATTTTTTTCACATTTTTTGGAAACATAGTTGATATGATGGGAAAAGGCTAGTTTGGAGTCAAGAATAACTCCCAAAAATTTTACATTCTCCCTAATTGGGATAGGTTCATTATTATAGAGAATGTTGATTTCAGGGAGTTGCCTATGGCGAGAGAAGATCACAACACTGCTTTTGGGAACAGCCAAAGACAAACCATGATCAGTTAACCAATCATGTAAATAGGACATTGATAAATTCAAGCGGGAACAAGCTGCAGGGAGGTTATCCAAGGAAGTATATATAGCTATATCGTCTGCATATTGGAGGATGTTACAGAATGAGTTAACAGAAAGCTCTAGATCATAAGTATAGATAGAATAGAGCAAAGGACTAAGTACTGAGCCTTGTGGGAGACCTTTCCATACTATTCTTGGTGGGAGTAGAGAATGTTGACTATCAATATAAATGGATCTAGAAGAGAGAAAGTTAGAGACAAAATTTACTATCCTCACTGGAATACTCAGATTGAGCATTTTTTGCCTGAGCATAGGAAGAAGTACATTGTCATATGCAGACGCGATATCTAGGAAGACTCCAACAAGGTATTCATGTTTAGAGTAAGCTAAACGAATATCAGTAACTAGAGTACTAAGGCTATCCATGGTGCTTAAGCCCTTTCGGAATCCAAATTGGCTTGTTGCTAGAAGGTGTTTGCTTTCAAGAAACCATTCTAAACGATTTTTAATTAGGTGTTCAAGGATTTTGGCCATGGTACAAGAAAGAGCGATAGGGCGGTAGCTTGAGGGATCAGTGTAAGGCTTACCTGGTTTGTAAATAGGTAAAATAACTTGGGATTTCCATTCTTCTGGAGGAATACCAGACATGTAAATACAATTCAAAATAGAAAGAAGATGGACTTTAATAGGTTCACTGCTATTAGTAATAAAAGAATAAGGAATTCCATCAATTCCTGGTGAAGAGTCTTTAAGGACACTAAGAACAGCATATAACTCCTCATAAGAGAAAGGGGCGTCAAAACTGTGTTGATAGTGCAAGGACTGTGATTGAAATGCTATACATTCATTGTAAGATGGTACTGAAGGAGGAGCAAGATTACTAGCAAAATTTTCTAGCCAATAAGACTGATCATTAGAAATTGTGTTTTCAGAGGTCAAAACTGAACATCGGAATTTTTTTTATATTTTTCCAGACTAATGATGGATGGGTCCTAGGCGACAGTGACTCACAGAATTTAAGCCATCCAGCCTTTTTCTTCCCGGATAATAATTTTAATGTTTCAGCAGCAGTTTTTTTATAAAAAATATAGTTGTCAAAATTCATAGAGTGGGAATATCTTACTTCAGCTTCCTTTCTCTTCTTACATGCTACAGAACAATCTTGATCCCACCAAGGTGGTGAAGGGGCATTATTTTTATAAGGTTTTTTGATGGGAATTGTCTTATTGGCAGCAGATAAAATAGCGTTTTTAAAAGAAGCATACACCTGGAGAACATTATCTTTCTGAACAGGAGGGAGGGCTGAAAGTTCTTCCTCTAGAACTGTGGAATATAGTTGCCAGTTTGCTTTGGAAGTGTTATATTTTAACCTAGGATTGAATGGAACATTGACTGTATAGGAGCTAGGGGGATTGATAACAATAGGGAAATGATCACTGCCATGGGAAAAGGGTAGTATTCTCCAAGAAAGAAGGGATGACAGAGCAGGAGAACAGAGTGACAGATCTACTGCACTTTTAGGATTTTGGAGGGGGATACTCTACGTGTAGGTGAACCATCGTTAAGGAGGCAGAGATCTAAATCATCAATGATGTCTAAAAATGTAGAAGACCAGGGATCGCAAAAATGAGAGCCCCATAAAGTATGGTGCATATTAAAATCACCAAGAATTACCATAGGAGGCGGGATGGAGGATATGATCCTCGTAAGTTCTGATAAAACATTTACACTAGGTTCGGGAATGTAAATAGAAAGAAAAGAAGTGTTATGAGCTCTAACTGCTACAACATTAATTGAAGGACTATGAGAAGGGAGGGAAATTAATGTATAAGTAATTGATTTTGAGATAAGAATGAAAGAGCCAGCATGACCATCATTCCTATCATTCCTTAGGCATGAATAACCTGAAATCCTA